TGGGAAATCCTACCAGTGGCTGGAAAGGGCTGGACTAAAAGACAACACTGAGGCATTGATCATAGCAGCACAAGAACAGGCCCTAAGCACCAGATCCATAGAAGCAGGGGTCTACCACACTAGACAGGACTCAAGGTGCAGACTCTGCAGACAGGCTTCAAAGATAGTCCAACACATAGTGGCAGGGTGTAAGATGCAGGCAGGAACAGCATACACTGAACAGCAGAACCAAGTAGCTGGCATTGTGTATAGGAACATCTGCACAGTGTATGGACTAGACCCCCCCCCAAGTCCAGATGGGAGATTCCACAGAAGGTCGTGGAGAATAGCAGGGCTAAGATCCTGTGGGATTTCTAGATCCAGATGGACAAGCAGATACTGGCCAATCAACTAGACATCGTGGTAGTTGACAAGGACCAGAAGACAGTGGTGGTGATAGATGTAGCAGTGCCAAGTAACAGCAACATCTGGAAGAAGGGGTATGAGAAGCTGGAGGAGAACCAGGGCCTGAAGGAAGAAACAGAGATGATTTGGAAGGAGGAAGACACATACTACCCATGGGGGGGGGGAAGAGAGAGAGAGCGCGCCTTCTATATCCACATCTTGTATACTACCATCTGAATATTTATCTGTCTAGTTTTCTCTTATAGAAGTTACATGGGGATTGGGAGGGGGGAGGATACTGCACCCTAAAATCAAAATATAGCTTATAAATAACAACATCATCATCAGCAGCAGCAGCAGCAGCAGCAGCAGCAGCCCCTGTAGAGCCTATGGCAACAAATTAACACAACTGCGGCAGTGCAATTTTTGGTCTGAAGACAAAGAAAAGAGCACAGGAATGGGATGGCAAGACCTCTGGGAAATAAACATCTCCCATTGTCCCTTTTTTTGAAGTCACCCATAAATCCCAAGGCTGCTGAACAAAATAAAAGCTAAAACAAGCAAGCAAACAAACAAACAAAACCCTGCTCCTTCTGGTGATATCACTTCATCATCTAAAGGGTTTCTGCAGCCTTCTCACCAGACAGGAAAGTAAATTGGGATCTCTAATCCAGAGAGCACTACTCATTCCTGATTTGACTATAGCAACAATGGAACCACCACCATCAATAATAATTCAACAAGAATACCAGTAAATAATACTCTAATAAATAACAATTACATACACTGAATGGTTGTTTTGCATTCTTGTACATACGACTATGTCAATTTGATATTAGCTTGCCTCATATCAGGGACGGGTTCCCCCCTAACGCTAATTCAGTATTTTTTATACAGTATTTTTTTACAGTTTGGCATGATAATCTAGTTCTCATACAACATTAAGACATAAAACATGATTTCATATATCATGCAAAACAAAAAGAAAACATACCAGTTCTGGCTTAGCTTTATATGTGAATCAGACTAGTACTTGGCCAAAACTCCATACATATACACCAAAGGGTTTCTCTCTACTTTCCCGTTTTGATCATCCAATACCTTACATGGCCTATGATCACCAAGGCCTATACTTGCAGGTATTTCTAAAATCCCAGAATAACCAAAATTGTGCCTCACTAGGAATAATTCTGGGTACATTTGGATACTTTGATTACATTTATATATCAGAATATAAGTCTTCTACTGACATTAATTAGAGTTCTAGTAAATAATACCTAGCAATATCTTACATTAAAAATAGCAGGAATATTTTCAGGTACAGAAAATATTGAAAATAATGACCTTTAAATGGATATACTTTTGCAGGACACAAACTGTTTACTTATCCTTGTGTAACATATTGCCAATATTTGTGTCTAATACTACACCAGGATTCGTAACCATGGTTTGTTGGGTCTAATAGAACACAAAGCCATTACAGGCTTATTTAACTAAAGATAGTTTAGATACTAGTAAAGTATCTAAACTAAAGATAGTAAAGATACTCACCGAGCTGGGGGACCAAATATAATGTACTGGTTGTCTTCTACGTAAACATGTCATGACATTCAAAGGAACATTTATTATTATTCTGTTTTCGTTAACATGACAGCCAAAGGGAAGTGAGAAGGAAAGGAAAGGTTTTCTCTGAGCAGAATGAGATGAGATGGATAGTTAGATATCTAGAGTCCAAGGGCAAAACGTGATTTGGAGCACATGGATCCTTATATAGCACTTGCCAGGAAGACCTTAAATTATGTGTCTTTTCTCAACAATGTGTATCAGCTGTGCAGGGCAGCTTTGTGTGAGCCCAGGAAAAGATGCAGCTGCTTTAAAGGTGTTCCAGACATGCTACTGCCTTCACAAGCTCTGAATAGGATCTCTGCATTGTCCTAATGGATTCCTTTTTTTTTTTTAATCTTTATTCATTTGTTAAATGTATACCCTACCTTTTTCACAGGAGCTCAAGAAGTACATAGCACTTCCACCTCCTATTTTTCCCACAACAGCAACCCTGTGAAGCAGGTTGGGCTAGAGAGAATGACTGGCCCAAAGTCACTCAGTCAGCTTCTTTGGCTGATGATAGACTCGAACCTGGGTCTCCCATGTGCTGGTCAACTATTACACCCCACTGGATATTAGCTTTTCCCAAAGCATGAGCAACTTACCCTTACAAGATTTGGAGCAATAGATGAACATGGTATCTTCACATACTTCAGGCACTTCTCATGAGACATAAAATTGCAAACTGTGGAAAACAAATATATATGTTAATGTGTGTTAAGAGACAGACAGAGGTGAAAAGTCCCAATTAGCCCATTCATTACAGATTCAACAATGTGCTGCATGAATTAATACTTTCTTTTAGCTGTCTTGATTCTCCTGCCAATTAGCTTCATTGGATGATGCTAAGTTCTAGGAATATGAAAGAGGGAGAAAAAATCTTCTTGTTGTTTTATTCACTCAGTGAATAAAAATCTGTATAATATCCCTGAAGAGTTATGGCATTTCCTCATAGAAAAATTGCTTTAACTCCCTGATCCTTTAAGTTTATTTTCTAGTTCTGTAGAATATTTTCTGACATCCATGAACCAGAGGTATACATACAGTGGGGCAAAAAAGTATTTAGTCAGCCACCAATTGTGCAAGTTCTCCCACTTAAAAAGATGAGAGAGGCCTGTAATTTTCATCATAGG